TTAAAATCACATATTTGTCTTTTGATAGTTTAGAGCAGTTGTTAAATGAATAAAAGACGTCTGGAGATCAGAGTGTGACTGGAGAAGGACGCAGAACCAGGGGCCAACTGCATGAAAGCTGGACTAATCTGTCATATTATACCTGTTCTGTTTTATAAACTCCTTCACTGCGGGAGCTTTGTTGCCATGTGGCACCACGTCTCAATTTTCTCCACCCACAGATTAGTGGATAGGTGGGAGTGTGGTTTCCATAGGCAGAAACCAGAGCCAGATTTGCCACAAAGCTTTCAGTACATGTTTATTGTATTCACTGATAAAGTTCCCTCGATGATATATTTGAGGGGGACACGCCCCACCTGTCGCCCTCAGTGATTTCCACCTGTGTGTTTCACTGATTATGTTGTGAGTTTCTCAAGTAGCCTCGAGCAGCTGTGGCTGTTCACAGCACTAAACTACTAATTCATATAAATCTCATGTAGCTCTGAACCATCAGTCATTAGTATTTAATATTATATGATTATATATGATTGATCAGTGATTAATCTATAGAGCTTCATTAACAGAGAAATAATGACTCAAATGTAAATAAAAAGAATTCATCAGTTATTCAATGATGTTTTGTTTTTTTTTTATCATGAATTGATTTAATATGAATGTACCCTTGATGGACTGAACACTGTATAGACTAACATTTGCCAACCTGTACGTATTTTACGTAACCTGAGTTCAGTTGTGCAGGTGCAGTACTCAGGTCTAACAGCTGGAGGCAGCAGCGTGCGGTCTGCCGAAAAACAAAGGAAGAAGAGTCGCACCAATCATGGCGCTGAGTTCAGTCCCCCAGACATCAACCCGAGGTGATTGATTCATGTCAGTCATGTTACCTGTGTCACCACACAGGCAGGTTCTTCCCTCTGCTTCCCGCGCTTCACTTCGTCTGCCTGCTTCCACAGGTGAGGGCGGGGCTTTAACCCTTCTACAAAGGTAAACGGGCTGGGTGGGAAGTTGACGTTGTGAAATGAGTTGCGTTAACGTTAATAACGTTTGTGTAACGTTACGTAATGCTTTCACTTTAAACGTGACTTTTCATAGAATTGGAGGTTTGTGTTTGCGCGCGCAGTTTAAATAAACGTGACATCAGAGCGGATGAGGAAATTCCTCACAGTATCAGGAGCAGAGCTCGCGCCTTCGCCCCTTAAAACCGCCAAACCTGCATTTTCTACATTGTGCAGTTGCAGTTCTGACGTCAGAGATGACGTGGCTGAACCTATGGTTATGACAGCCTTCATCATAGGCCAGATTTCTAAAACTACAAAGACAAACAGCATCATCATCATCACCAGCAGCTGGTCTGAGTTTTATTCCCTTTTTGGGATTTTTTTTTTCATATTTTACTCTGAAATGTTCTAACACAATAAAGGTATTTTAACTGTTTCCTTGTCTCTGTGTGAGTGTGCCTGAAGTAAACCCAGCAGCTTCCTTTTTGTCTGTAAAGTGACAGTTTACGTCACAACAGAAGCACCTGACGATGAAAACACAAGGTGTTGAAGAGTCTGTGCTGTTGTTGTTTGTGTTTTAGCGCCGCAGTTTGTTACTGAAGACGACGATTCTGCGGAAGCTGCTGCTCGTCTGATGTGATCTCGTCTGACGACCCTCCCGCTCAGGCCTCCAGGTGAGACTGACATCACTCAACGAGACAAGGTAACAAATCTCTCACCTCTCATTGGCTGGAAATGGTTTTCTGTGCAGGAGGGGTCTGCAGGTGATGCAGTCCTCAGAGCTCAGCCCGGTAAATGAGTGGTGTTTAGATATTTTCTCATTCCTCAGTGTTTCTGCTCTAAACTCAACAAGGAAGTGTAAACAGTGTAAACATGTCCTCTCCTGATGATCCTNTAATAATAATAATAATAATAATAATAATAATTATTATTATTATTATTATTATTATTATTGTGATTATTTTCATTATAAGCTTTATTTATATAGCAGCTTACAAAGTGCTTTGCATGACAAGATAAAATAGAGGACGAATACTAAAAAGAGAAAAGTGAAAATGAGGTTCAGTAAAAAAAGATAAAACAGTCTAATATAATTAAATGAATTGATAAGCAACAGAATTATGACTTAATAATAATAATAATGATAATAACTTTGACTTTTATAGGGCCTTTCAAGGTACCCAAGGCCGCTTTACAGGGAAAGAAACACAAAATAAATAAAGACCAGATGAAAGAAAACAAGACGAGACAGAACAGGCATGGCAGAGGTCGGAGGAGATGAGGCAGCTAGAGGTCGGAGAACAGGTGGGTTTTCAGCACTTTTTTGAAAATGTCCAGAGATGAGGTTGTGCGGATCTGATCACTTTGTTTTAGAAAATTAAAAACATTTTTTATATTTTTGTTTTTATGTGTTTTTATAATTACAACAACAACAACAACAACAACAACAACAACAACAACAACAACAACAACACGGTGTGTGAGCAGANTGATTGATCAGTGATTAATTTATAGAGCTTCATTAACAGAGAAATAATGACTCAAATGTAAATAAAAAGAATTCATCAGTTATTCAATGATGTTTTGTTTTTTTTTATCATGAATTGATTTAATATGAATGTACCCTTGATTGACTGAACACTGTATAGACTAACATTTGCCAACCTGTACGTATTTTACGTAACCTGAGTTCAGTTGTGCAGGTGCAGTACTCAGGTCTAACAGCTGGAGGCAGCAGCGTGCGGTCTGCCGAAAAACAAAGGAAGAAGAGTCGCACCAATCATGGCGCTGAGTTCAGTCCCCCAGACATCAACCCGAGGTGATTGATTCATGTCAGTCATGTTACCTGTGTCACCACACAGGCAGGTTCTTCCCTCTGCTTCCCGCGCTTCACTTCGTCTGCCTGCTTCCACAGGTGAGGGCGGGGCTTTAACCCTTCTACAAAGGTAAACGGGCTGGGTGGGAAGTTGACGTTGTGAAATGAGTTGCGTTAACGTTAATAACGTTTGTGTAACGTTACGTAATGCTTTCACTTTAAACGTGACTTTTCATAGAATTGGAGGTTTGTGTTTGCGCGCGCAGTTTAAATAAACGTGACATCAGAGCGGATGAGGAAATTCCTCACAGTATCAGGAGCAGAGCTCGCGCCTTCGCCCCTTAAAACCGCCAAACCTGCATTTTCTACATTGTGCAGTTGCAGTTCTGACGTCAGAGATGACGTGGCTGAACCTATGGTTATGACAGCCTTCATCATAGGCCAGATTTCTAAAACTACAAAGACAAACAGCATCATCATCACCAGCAGCAGCTGGTCTGAGTTTTATTCCCTTTTTGGGATTTTTTTTTTCATATTTTACTCTGAAATGTTCTAACACAATAAAGGTATTTTAACTGTTTCCTTGTCTCTGTGTGAGTGTGCCTGAAGTAAACCCAGCAGCTTCCTTTTTGTCTGTAAAGTGACAGTTTACGTCACAACAGAAGCACCTGACGATGAAAACACAAGGTGTTGAAGAGTCTGTGCTGTTGTTGTTTGTG